AGCACCAGAATTCAAAATAGTTAAATCTTTTAAGCAACCCATATGTCCATCAGTAGATGAGTGGATAAAGAGTAGATGGTATTTATACACAATGGAGTACTACTTTGCCATAAAGAAGGATAAACCTTAGTCATTTATACAAAAATGGATGAATTTTGAGATTATAATGTTAAGGGAAGTAAATCTGACACTCAACTTAAATATTGCATAGTATCTCTTATATGAGCAACTCTAATTAGAAATAAGGATCCAAATAAAAGATAATAACAAGTACAAAGGTAGATCTTTCTCAAATGAGAAGATGATCAAGAGTTGGAGGGAGGGCTAAGGAGGGAAGAGAAAGGGGACAAAAAAAGGGATTGAGATGAGTTACGTACATGACCAATTCCAAATAAGCAATGTAAACATTATGTGCTGCAAACACATACTAATGAAAAACAGGACAATAAAACACACAGCAGAAAAGAGTCTCAAAAAAAGAAACTAACAGCAGATAAAGAGAATTAACATACTTGAACAGTAAGAAACAATATATCTGTCATAAACAAAGTCCAATATAAGCCTCAGTGATGAGAACACCTATAGCCTGGTATGGTTCTCTCTACCTGAAAGTTTCTTCTAACCAATAGTTTTCCTCAGCATTTAGAAAAAATGTCACTTAAACATGATATTACTAGTGTATGACTGACTTACTTTTTACTAGAGTACATTAACCTTTGCTAGATGTCCTGAAGTGAGTTACATGTCAGGAAATCTCCCTGACTAAAAATTGAAGGTAGCCTCAGGTTTTTAACCAATTTGAAACCTGTGCCTTCAATCCAAGAACATGGCAGGAACCCAGTCCTTCAGAGAGCCATACAAATGACCCAAGGAACAAGTCACCCGGCAGGGCCTGCAGATGAGATCTCATCTTTGAAGACAACTTGTTCTAGACAAGGAAGGTGCCAGCCCAGCTGACTGGATCCTGTTCCCACAGAATCTCTAAATTAAGGAATCTCTTATTTTAGGCAGCAAAATTTGGAAGCAATTTATTTCATAAAAATAGGTAATTTATAAAGTACCTTTATAAGGCAAAATTCATAATCAAGGCAAAATACAATAAGAATGCACAAAACATAACACAATGAAGTTTCATTTTACAGATAGTCTATTCTTTTATAGGCAGACTTAATTAAAATACATTCCCTAGTAATTCAATCAAACACTGATATAAGTGTATCAGTATAGAACTATTTTGTTGAAGTAAATAAAGTTCATAATTAGTTGATTTTAAATAAGGGACACTATCCTAATATTGCATATCCAATAATAGTACATTGTACATAATGTAGAAAATCCTACTGTTCTAACTCAGTTTATAGAAAAGTCTTGAGAGCAGAGTTCAGGCTTCTGAAGAATACTGCATTTCTGTAGATTACAGTAATACCTCAGCTTAGGTACCTAATTCTTTCCACAATTCTGGTTACAACTCAACTGGACGAGAATCAAATCAAATTTCCCCTTAAGGTCAACACTGAACTGGGCCATTGAATTTGATTTGGTTGTCCTCCAATTTGGTTTCTGACCAGAATTTTGGAAGAATTAGCTTTGTGAAAGGTGGCACCACTACACCTTTTGCCTATTGTAGAGAATTTTATCCTACCCTTCCTTACAGACTGTCTTTCTGTTTCACCCTTGCCTTAGCATCCTCAGAATCATGTAAATAAAGTATAACAGAATGTGGAAGATGATTTTATCTACTCAGATTTTGTAGTGGATTGATAACTGGTGGTCAACTTATAACCCCCAGCTGAGCTGAGTAACTGTGGTGCTGGGTGTGGGAGGCCCACCTGAGGACTGTTGCCAGCAGCATAAGAGGCAGACCTGGAGAAGAAGCAAGCTGTTGGGAACTGAAAGAGGCTGTAGGGAGCTGTCTTTCCTGATGAACTTGACTATTTTCATCCTCCAAGGAGCTCTGGACCTCGCTGGCACTGAGAATGACTTCGGTTCACTTTGGGGAGCTCTGGTCCTCACTTGAGCATAGCTTCCAGGTTCCAGAGAGGAAGATGGTGCACTGCCGGCCTCCAGGAAAAGCTTGTTGCATTGGCTTCCCTGATGGGAACTCGGCCATCCTGATCATCAGAGAACCTTGGGACCTCACTGTTGCAGATGATGGCTGTGGTACCTTTTCGGGGAGCTCTGGTTCTTCTGAGCATCACTTCCTGGCTCCAGTGCAGATCCCTCAGCCTGCTAGCACAGGTCCTTCATCCTTCTGGCACAGACTTTGTAGATTCCACCACTGACCTTTGGGCCTTCCCAGCAGATCCGTGAAACAAGTCTGCATGAGACATTGTCATGGGCTCTGGGCCTCCAGTTGGATTCATGGGAGGCATTGTTATGAGCTCTGGGTATTCAGCTCAACTCATGTAGGACATTGTTGTGGGATCCAGGCCCTCAGCTGGATTCCTTGGCCTTAGTGTGTGGACAGATTCCCTGCACTCTTTTGTATACTGTTCTTTGGGTGACTTATAAATACTCATATAAAGTATGTGTCCTGTATTATGTTGTTCCCCTTGCAAAATAAGCCCCAAACCAACACAGATTTATAGGCATTAATGACTATTTCTGGTAAGAAGACAGCACACCTAAGCCATATTAAGATCTTATAATAGAGTTATGTTTATAAATATGTCACCATTGGTTTTTACTTATCCAATACCTATAGACAGCAGAATGATGGGTTTGATCCTTTGGAACATTTTAGGCTAAATAATTTTAACTGCATTGATGCAGTTCTGTTATCATGGAATATTAAGTAATTGGCTGATTGCTCATAACTGCTCTGGAGCAAGTGAGGGAAGAAAAGGATGAGCTCAGGGCCTCCCACACCCATATGGAATTGTTTATTAATGAATAGTATGCTTTTCTACTCTCCCCTAAAAAAACCCATAGTATTTCCTTCACAAAGCTGAACTACTAAAATTCAAACACAGAATCATCTTATAAATGGTTAGACATAGCTTTCAAACTATATTATCAATAATATTCATAAAAATCAATATTGATAATAAAAATGTTGCTTCCTTTAATACACAAGCATTTTCCAAATATCTACAAAATAATAGTTAAAAAATGATTACTTTTTATGAGATTCAATTAAGGTAGTGCTTACAGAAACTTCAAAACATTAACTACATATATATTAATTTAATGAGTATGCATTAAAATGAAATTCAAGTTAGAGAAAATAAATTTAAAGAGAAAAATATTGCAAGGAATATCATGAAAAACGGATTAATAAGTTATAATAACAATTATAGTACAGTTTTAAAAAGTTAGTTAATGCCGGAGACCTTCCAGTGCCAGTTCCTTGACAAAGTCAGGACCGGCCCGGGGTGCCTGCAAAGCAGGGACTGCATGGGACGGGTGTGCGGCCTCTCCCTGTACTCTCTATTAATCACAGCTTTCCAAATATTCATTGTGCTATTGATAAAGGATGGTTGGGAACCTGAAGGGTCAGCACTGAAAGAAGTTAAGGAATGAGAGCCCAGGATGAAAGTCATCCCTCCAGAGTTGAAAGGGGAAGTAAAAGCCACCACAGAGATTTGCGTCAGTCCCCTACCTCCTGTGTCGCAATGTTCGCCCACTGGAATGGGAGGGGAGCACTGCACGGGCCTCAGTACATGGGAAAACATTAGGTGAACCCCCTGTGTGTGCCGGACTGGCTCTAGATGGAGATACTGTAAATGTGGGTCCTGTTGTCCAGTAGACAAGTAAACAATTCTATAAAAAATTATACCTAATCGAGAACACCTAGTGATTGATCTTTTTGCTTCCTTTTATGTGCTTCAGAAAAGTTGATTTCCTGCTAGGGTTGTGGCCAGACAGTCAGTCAGCCATGTCTGAATTTGTAACTAAAATAGAAACCTCATTGTATCTAAGAGTTTCATATGTATTTGGAAAAGTATATAATAAAGCAAAAAACATTTCTCTGTGTCAGAGGAGCCTTGCTCCCCTGGCCCACCAGGAGGACCTCCGGTCTCTGTGTTGTTTGTCTCTTCGCCCATATCTTTCCCTCTTGCAGGAATCTCCTGGGCCTGCTGAAGCCGGACTGCGGCAAGTTAAACCAGTAAAATAATGTAATTCAAAAAGAAGCTCCGCAATTACATAATAAATTACAGGGGTAATGCTGAGTAACCATTGAAACAGTGCATATATGTACAATGACACCTCTGTTTACAAATGCTTTCATACGTAAACACTTTTGATCACAAACAGGTTTTAGCAAAATTTCACTGTCATTTGCAAACTCTGCATTGGGTGACAAACGTTGTCACAGCCTTCTTCTCCACACAAACACAAACATAGCCTTTTTTTCCAAAATTAATTTTTTGAATCAAGGTACCACAGATAAATACATAGAGAGATAAAGAGGGAGCAGTAGAGAGAGAGAGATATAAATATCTCCATTCACAAACCATAAGCAGGAATCCAACACTGACCTTCTTGTGAAATCCACTCTCTTTTCAAAAGTAGTTTTGAGTTGGATACTAGAAGAGTGTACAAAGCATTCTGTGAGTCCACAGATGTTGACAACACTTGGAGCAGAAAATTAAATCTATTTCCTGAATATATGTCTATGTCAGGGAAGATAAATCACGGTCTCTGCACAATGTAGAAGAGTGCCGATGTAACCAACCCAACACTAGGTGTATACTTATCTCTGTCAAGAGAATAATACAAGAGACTCAGCATTGGTTTCTTCTCAAAGAGTAGCAGTTAGCAGTGTTGTAGATTGACCAGTCACAGGGATAATCTACATTCTTAAGTTTAGGTTCAACTTCTATCCCTACCCTCTATGATGCTGAGGGGGTCACTTAAGCAAGTATATGGTATCTGGGTGGGGAGGGATCTACAGGTATCCGGGGAAAATATTTTATACCTGACATACCGCTCTGCAGTCTATGTCAGCTGATAGGCATTCACACAGCAAAAGATAGTCACTACCTTTGCTCATTTTGAGAGGTATATCTACATAAATTCTTCTCACAGCTTTTTGTCATAAATTTTTTAATCTTGTTTCTTGTATGTCCTGAGCCACCCAGTGAAATTGTTAGTTAGAGGACATGACACAGAGTACCGGTAAAGCTCCAATCATATTTCATTAGAGGCAATGTGGAACAATGATCATATTACTTAATGTTTTGGCCTCTGGAAAGATTTCCTTTACCTGCTTTAAAACAGAGACATTCCTGATTCAGACTGTAACAGTACTGACAAGAGATGCATTTGAGGCAAGTATTGGAAATTAAGGTAAAGCTCTCTCTTTGCAGATAATGCTTCATGTCTGTGAAACAATGAGAATACATACTACAAAGAATAGCATGATATCAATTAAATATGCAGTATACACCAGTCTATCCAATATGTATAACCATTTATATATAATAAAATAAACTGCCACATTTAAACTAGCAACGAAAACATAAAACACCTGTCCACATGGATAACAAAATATATGAAAAATTGCATGAGATATGGTTAAATTTTTTACAAATTTTCCTCCTTCTTTCAGAGAACAGGACATTGTGTACTCTGGGTATCATTTTTTTTTTTTTTTTTTTTTTGGTTTTGGTTTTTCTCCGGTACCGGGAACCGAACTCATGACCTTGCGCTTGCCAGGCAGGCGCTTTTGCCGCTGAGCTAAATCCCCAGCCCCCTGGGCATCATTGAAGTTAAGTATGGGCATGTGACTATTTCAGGCCAGTTATTGTAACCATATTTCAGAAGGATCTTTTCCAGGCCCCAAATTTTCAACTTCTGATGGACTGACTCATTTTTATGATTTCTTAGTATACTGTGATTTCTCAGAGAGATAAGTGCAAATAATAGTGAAGCTTTAGAAAAAAAAATACTTTGAATTGAGACACATTGCCTAAATGACAGGGAACATTATCATTTGACTGTATCTTCATAAGCCAGTGTCAGAAATAGGACCCAGTGCAGTGATAGACGTAGTCTACCCCGCTTTGACTGATATGGTAAACACACTACATTGTTGTGGCTTTTGAATACTTGGAACATGATGTGTAGAGCTAAGGAACTGAATTTTTAAATTTAATTTAACTCCATATAATTTTTTAAAAAGATATGAATAGTCACATTAGCAGTTACCACCATGTTGGAGAGGGTATGTCTGAACTAGAGGCACTAACTAATTGTCAATGGGGTGGGTCTGTGTATGATGACTCTTGGCTCTTCTTACTTTCTTTCCAAAGTATCTGAGCCTTTGCTGTGTTTTTAAAACCCTCCATTTTGGAAACAAAATATGGATGGGTCATTTGTTTGTGAAACTAGACAGTAGCATTATTTGTTGCTTGTGCTTTGATAATCTTCTGTATTGTAGTATATTGCAGAAAAGACACAAAATTTTGTCACTACTCATATCCGTGGGATAGTCTATTTTCTTTACCACACTGATTCTGACTTTCAAGGTGTGATATGTTTTCACTGGTGGGATGTTAGTAAGCATGACACAATCAAATGTTCAGGAGAGTTTGTGCAAGGCAGCACACTTGCAGTGGACCACTCATGGAGGTCTTCAGCTGTGAAAGAAGTCTGTCATGCACTGTTTGCTGACTTGGATGAGTCAGCTGAGACAGAGCACTCAAAAGCACAAGTTACGTGAAATGGCTTATTGCTTAAATCCAGTCATCAAGGGTTAACTGAATTCTGGGAATCACTGCAAGCTGGTCCCCCAAGGCTTAGGAAAGTTTCTGGGTTGGATGAAGTCTCACGTGTGGCAGAGCTGA